AATATATTTAAATAAATTAACTGTATCATACAGGAATTATATGCCAATCAAGCTATTAAAATGTTTTAAAATAAAAAATGTAAACTCATCCTGTGGTGAAGTGAAATTTCTTAATTTCACTTCTTCTCAATTTCACAGTTCTTCTATCCAAGTCTCTGTAACTTCCATCCAATGCCTGGGCGGGATTATGCAAACAGGGCATATGTAACAAGAAGAGGGTATTGGTCAGTTTTCATTACTACCTCCCTGGTTATAATGATGAGCAACTTTTGAAGCAGAGGGAGAAACCCTGGAAGCAGAGACAAATCTTTGAGGCAGAAGCAGAGAAAGAACCTTAGATGAGCACAGTCCAAGATCTCTGAGACCATAGGACACCTTGCCTCGCCCGGCCTGAGACTATGGAACTGTGGGACAACAACAGATGGGCTGGCTTCCTGGCCCATGGAGGCGAGGAACTAAGTGGCTGAGAGATTGAAAACCACAGAGAGACTTGGGGCTGCAGCCTGAGATCAATGACTGTATCCTAACTGCTGATCCTGATATGTGATAACCTATTGACTTCCCAAATAAGCATCCGTAATTTGAGTATTGTTTGTGAGTCTGTGTGGCTATTGCCACACATTACTATTTTATAAAAATCATTTTCTTGGGGGCTCATACAGCTCTTATCACAATACATCCATCCATCCAGGGTGTCAAACACATTGCTACATTTGCTGCCCTCATCATTTTTGCCACAAATGATTCCACCTAGCATAGAAGCGAGATACAGAGAGGCCTTGGAGGGAGAGTGGCTATCAGAATGGGTTACAAAAGATGGATGCTGAAGATATCTGACTCTTGTCTCATGGCAATAGAGAAGTCAGAGGTCAGATGTATCCACCTCAGTTGCCATTGATTACATGTGCACATACACACACACTTAAGATGGATCTTAGAACTAAATGAAAAAGCTATTACATAAAGCTCCTAGAGATATTCCTTATGATTTAATTTCTCTAAAGTTCCAAAACAGATCAAATTAATCTATGATAGAAACAAAAACCAGGGCAGTGGGTTCCATGGGGGAGATAAGGGGTAGACTGTAGGAGGGCTTGCTGAGGCAATGTCGAGGCTCTGGTTCTTCATGGGAGTTACACAGATGTGTCCTGTCTGGACACACTCATCAAATGATGTACTGAAGAGCCAGATCTAAGAATCTGCTACATGCAAATTTCACCTCAGAAATAAGATGTGTCAACAAAAAAAGAACTCTAGCTAGCAATATACATGTTGAAGTGCTTTATTGGGAAGTGTACTAATGCCTGCAACCTTCAAATGAATCAAGAATAGGCTGGATGGATGCCTGGATGGGGAGTAAAATGTAAACTGTAGAATCCCAATGGTGGGTATATGGATGTTCACTGTCCAATTCTTTCAACCTTTTTAATAGTTGAAAATATCCACAGGTAATGAGGAAAATGAAGTTGATTAAAATGAAGCTTCTAGGACTACGTGTGAACTAATAGACTCCACCCTGCTCTAAGGACGCTCAACCACAACTGTCCTTCCACAAACACTGAACCTTTTACCAGGACTGTCACATTTCCAAAGGATCTTTGGCTTATAAATTCTTCAATCTTTGTGTATGAAATATGCCAGCACATAAAGCTAATTATTTTGCTGCTGTGGGATTGATTTTTATTTTTTAATGTCACGAACACTGTAACACTAATATAAAGTGATCAAGAATCTGAAAAGTAACAAAAAACTTAAGCAATCAAAGATAATAATTCAGGAGTAAAATGTGCATAATAGTACAGGGTACGTCTTTCAATGTATATAAGAAATTACAAGAAACTGTATATTATAATGCAACTGATTACAGAACTGTCTAGGACAATATAACTGGTCACCGATCTTTATAATAACGAAATGCAGTTAATTGTAGATCTGAATATCAACATGGTCGTAAAGGCTACAAAAGCGGGCTCAAACCGAGCAAAGAAGATTAAGTGTTTTGTTCTGTTACGTGAGGTCACTGTGAGTCAGAATAACTCCATGGCAACTGAGAACAAGCAGGAAAAAGCAGCTGATTACGTTTTTTCTAGAGAAAGGCCTATTAACATCTTTCCCGGTCAACATAACCTGTACCTCTCCTGCTGGTACTCAGT